TCTGGATTTGCACCAAAGTTGAGAGGGCCAGAATGAGTTAGTTGCCCTTTGGATTCTCTTTGGCTTTGCCTTGCTTCCCTTCAAAACAGCGCGCAATCAACATAACTGTTGAGTCAGTGAAGACGCGTGCGCATGACCTCATTCATGACCAAGTTCATGCCAACCTTCTCCAAAACTGGTGTGTGTGTGTGTGCGCGACTGTTCCCGTGACTGTGTCTGAGACTGTGATTGACGCTATGCTGCTCCGAAGATGAGGCGCGGGGTTTTCCTGCCGGCTGGAAAAATCGAGCGCCTGGATGTATCAGGTGGAACGGAGCCTTTCTGTCTTCAACATCGCGGACCGGTGCGGTGAGGGCTTCATCATGCGGGAGGACTTCCTAATCTTCCAACTGTGCAACTGCTCTTTGCTATTTCAAGCGTCTAGTCATGCGCAAACAGTTTCTTCTATCACCTTGGGAAGGAAGCCGATAGGTGCACTAAGGATAATTTCAGATTAATCGGACCGTACCAATCAGAAGGGTTCCCCCAAATTCATCATGCCTCACTTCTCATGATCCATCCATAGACTTTGTTCATCCAACTCGGACAATAAAGAGGACGCCACCGAAAAACTGAGAAATCACCGGAAGCGTGTGTTTACTGAGTTGCGTATGATTGCGAATCACTCCTGCGCAAGCTGTGAGTTTGGTTCGCTCTCAAAGCCAAAAGCTGTCAGGACGCCTTTCGGTCCATTGAGGTCTCAGCCACACGTCGCAGCTCTTGCTGAAGTTCCCCTGCCATACCTGGTAGGCGAACTTCAACTGTCGCACTGTGGCCGAGGTGTGTATGGAAACTCGGGACAGGAGAGCCGCTACCAACTCATCATGCTTCTCTCCGCCAGGCTCCTTAACAGGATGAGTGTTGCATCCATCTATAAAGAATCAAAAAACACGTTCAATGAGGCATGACAAGGCTTTGTGTCCGTTCATTCGTTGTGTCACAACCCGTTTGTGGAAGGACAAACCATCATGCGCCATCATTTGAGCTTGGATTCCATGTGCCGCAACAGTATCTGTGATCCCCTGGCAAAAGGCCAAAATTCCACACCGAGTGGTTCAAGCGACGGTCAAGGGACGCCGACCGAGTCATAAGTCATAATCCAAAACCGGTACTACAATGGTCGATCCCCAGAACCATGTAAAGACTTAAAACGGCGGCCTTCAGGCCCCAATTTAGGGCAAGAGGAATATCCCTTAGCAACCTTCTACCCGGGTTTTGAGCGAGTGGCTGATCTAAAGTTTGGAGCATAATTACGAGCACATCATCCGAGCCCACATAATACTTGACTTGTTCCCCAAAGGACATCAGCAAATCGGCTCGGCGCAATGTTTGCGTTCAAGACGGGGAACTCTGGTGGGCACATGTCACATGTCCTCCTCAAACTTTGGCTCTTAACGCTTGCCCAGTGCCAATCAGTCCGTCCGGCAATGCAAGTGCTCTTTTTGCGGCAACAAACAATCCGGCGCAACACAAATCATCCAGCACGCAGCAAACCCCACATCGTTTGCGCAAAAGAACCCGGGGAGCTCCCTTCTGCGTTTAAGGATCAGCTCCGGCTAAGGCTCCTTCCCCGACATCTGAGATGGGAACTCCCTCTTGTGCAAAAAATAAAAGACACTACTGGAAATCCGAGCCCGGTCAACCCCTGACCAAGTAAGCACGCAGTTCGCAAGAAATACAAATACTGGACAAATCGGATATTCCCATTGTTCGGACATGTTGCCAAAGCCCCACACTCTGAAACGTTTCGCAAGCAACACATACTCTTTTTTGAGCGCAACATGTTTTGCAAAGGAAAACCTCGACAAAAAAACGGTCGATGGTGAGCACATGCAGCTAAGTTGTAAAGTCCTTGAACCGGTCCAACGGCCTCTGGAGCCATGTAGGGGGGCGTTCCAGACCTCGGCCAAGGCTGTGAGGTGCCCGGTGAAAAACACCCAACGGTCCAGATACTGGGTGAGAAGCAAAGGAAGAAACACCACCACTCACCGACTAGCTTGACTCTGCTTGACCGGCCTGAACAACTGTCACATGGCTAACAGCCTGTTGGCCCATTCCTACTGTAGGGAAGTCTGGTGCCAAACCGGGAGAGGCTTACGTTTCGTGCCCTATGCCAAGCAATTGTTGTTGTGTTCTTGATGTTGTGGTTGTGGTTCTTGTTGTCGTTGTTGTTGGTGGCGGTGGGTGGCGGCGGCGACGCTGTCCTTCAATGACTATCCCAAAAACAGCCCCAAGTTCACCCATCCCATGGGTCAAAGATATGGGCCTGCACGTGGAGGCATATTGTGGCGATGGTGATTGCAGCAAGCAAATCTAATTCTCATTTGCCCAAAGGACCCAGAAATAAACGGTTAACCTTTTGGGACCTTTACTAAAATGGACCAAAAAGAGAAAACGAAAAGGTCAAAAGGTCGGCTTTGGGCAAGTGAGAATTCCACCTGGTTGGTCTCGTTTCAGCTTCATGCCAACCATTTGCTTTGGGCTTTTGTCCGGAGCCATGGAAATGTGAGATCCCCCGAACGCTTCTGTACGCATCTTTGCTCCCAGGTAACACGTATGCAAGTCCGCTGACGCAAATGCGGAAGAATGCTACGGCCTGTTTCTGTGGGTTCGTCGTCTTTGTCAGCAATTGGGCAAGCCGGCTAAACTCTGCCTCCAGTCACACGGGAGAATTTGGTTGTAGCCAAATTCGCGTGAGCTTCTTTTAATCATAGTAGACCTTTTGCGACCATAGCGACAAAGAAGCTCCAAACCACGGAAATCAACAGGTCGGCAGTAGGGAAGAAAGTCTTTCACTGGAAATACCTACCACGCTTCCAGCACTGAACCAGAAATCATTCGAATCCAGGCTTCCCAACGTAACATGTTTGACCGCCATCACCATAGTAAAGGTTCCAATTCAGTTTGTTGCCAGCCATGTTGCCGAATGCCAGACTCGCTCGCTGGGATCCGGGCACAACATCACTTCTGTCAGTGGAGCGTGCAAAGACCTGATGACGCTGGATGCATTGGCCGCTCATAAATACACAAGTCGAAATAATATGCACTGATTGCTACATCATGCTACATCTCACCGAGCAGAATGAAGGAATTCCTAATCGACTCTCATGGGCAAGCTCAGGCTACTCCCAGGCGGGTAGAACTGGTTTGGTACATATAGTGGAAGCAGGGCCTGTGCGAACGCCTCCAATGACATGCGAAGGATGCCTACAAGGGCCTATTTCATCATCATGTGCCACTCCTTGGACTGAATGCTGTGAATGGACGAACTCCTGCACCACCTAAGCGCCTTGGAATGCGAACGGATTTCGCAACCATCTCCAGTATGGCAAGGAACGCCTATGACACGACCCGGTCGGGCCATGGCTTGTGATTCATTTTCACTTCCGTCTGGCGGCGTGGCTCTTTGCTTGCCCTAGACTTCAACATGTGCCAAGTCCTCCAAACCCAGCTGCCCAGCTCTTGAAGTGTCCGACCGTTACCGACCTTTCCTAGTTGAACCAGGGTCATTGCGAGCAAAAGCTTAGGAACATATCGTGTTGTTCTGCTAGGTCCAGCAGCTGTTTATTTGCAATGAACAATCGCTGAACATTGTACGGGACGCATGAGCACATTCTAAGCTACTGCAGTCAGACTCCGCGTTGAGTTTCGACTGGGAAACTAACATAAGGAACTAACCAACATCAACATCCAAAGAGCATATGGGGGATTATGGGGGGCACAAATATGGCCTTCTTTGGGATACGTTTGGGTACCGCCAGTAGCCTGACTTTTGACAACCATGCATACCATGCCCCCAAAACCTCTTGGCAGCCTTTTAAAGCCACAAACATGTACCCTCAAATCACAACACGTCACCCATAATCGCTTCGCCCAAATAAAACTGGGCTTGGGGCCAAACAACATTTATTCATAGGGCTGGCAATTCATAGGATGCAGTACAAACTATGAAAAGGAACCGCTCTTTGTTTTGGTCTGGCTTTGGGCATCACAAATGAGTACAGGGAAAGAAAGACAAACAGTCGGTGATTTGAGTCCCTCGCCCTTCTTAAGCTGGCACTGCTAGGAAGGTAGACAGGCAGCCTCTAGAGCAAGACAGCTTTTGCAAACAGCAATGGCTGGAAAAGTCATCAGGGAGTTCCTGACAGAGCTGAAGAGATGCAAGCAGCCCTTTGTTTAACCCTTGTTGGAAAAAAAGAACAATGCGTACATATAAATTTTGGGGGAGGCAGACTAGGCAGGGAAGCTCATAGGCAGTACCAGGGAACCCTTGGAAGGGCTCGAAGTTGTGGCGTTTTCACTTGGTTGCATGGGACTATGGTCTATTTCTGGCCAGTATCCCCATTGGAAAGCGTCTAAATTGCTACATTGTCACTTACCTCTAGGACAATCTTTAAAGGAGAAGAAGGGCCTTGTTTTTTCAATTCTGGCTAGTTGGGTCCAGGAGTACCCCCTAATACGACCGGGATCGGGTTTGGCAGGCAATCAGCCAGTTTAGTGTTGGTTTAGAATTGGCCTATTCGAAAGTAGTATTGGGGACCTGGCGTTCTGGGCAAATGGTATTGATTCATAGGGTGCAGTTCTTCGGGGGACGTGATTTGTTTCTTGTCGTTTTGTAGGCTAGGTCCTCCAGTAGAGAGGTTAGAATAAGGGTACCCTTTCGTCTGTATTCTATTTTAGTAGGGGAACCCTCCTCCAAAAAAAGGTAAAAGGGCACCACTGGGGGACCGAGTAGGGGATCCACAAAAACACAGGGCACCAAGTCCCGTAGACGAGGACACCTACCCCCTACTCCAAACTCCTACTTTTTGAGGGTATGATTTCGACCCTCTACTTAAAAAGGAGGTACTTACCACGGACAACCAGGTTTTCCCACAAACACCCTGAAAAAAAGGGGAAACAACAACTGTGGGGTATCTTCAGTCCTTCGACCCCCACCCCAATCGACGCGCGCTCACGCGTTAGCTCGCCTCCGCAAGGCCGAAATCGACGACAACCTCAGGCATGCATCAACCGCCGTTTGAGGCGCTTGGGGATTGTCTCCAAGCGAATTGATATGGCTGCGGGCCAAAAATGTGTGCCGAAAATGAAGCCCTGGTAAATTGAAATAGGCACCGGATGGTTTGGACCATAGGTGTTGGCAAGGTGTTAATTGGTGGGGTTATAGTCAGTGGTTTAAACACCCTTGTCTATAGTTTCTCACCATTAACCTGACATTCGAGGGTCTTGGTTTGGACCATTTTCTCTTTGAAGGTCCCTGTCAGGTTCCATGTGAAAAGGGTGGGAGGGCAGTCGTCAGCCCAAATGGCGCGGTTGTCCTCAACGGGTGTGCGCTTTTTTGGTGAGAATACCCCAAAATGTAGGCGTTCAACTTTGGGTTTCCCTGTAAAACCACCAAAAAGGGGTACCCCCCAAAAAAAGACACAGCCACTGGCCTCTCTGCAAATTAACCCCCCAAAAGATACGTAGTTCGTTCTGAACCCTCAAACCACAGACCCAATACAGTGGGCGGACTCGCTTTGGGTGCGTGTGGAAGCAGCTGCTTGGATGGTTTGGGTGACTTTAAATGGGTTCTAACAAAAATGGGTTCTAGGATGCTGCACACATTGTCCTTTGGTGATACCCGCCTAGGGTCCCCGGAAGCTTGGGTGCACACTGGCCTCACTCATGAAGTCACCCTGAAGTGGTAGGTTCAGGAAAACAACCCAAGTTGATGACTTTGACAACCCTAAGGAACAGTCAAACTCATTACCCCGGTGCACAAAGCTTCAGAATCTGGCCGTTGATAAGCACGAGCTAACACCTTGCAGGCATGTGAAAACCACGTTGGCTTGAATTCATTGGCAGTTTCCTTAGGCCTGGTCTTGTCGGTCGCTCTTGGCAAGGTGAGGAACAACTTCGAGTGGAGCAGAACAGAGAACTAAAGTGGGTATCACTGATCATCCAGAAGCCACCAACCTGAAACAAGGCACGCTCAAAAGGGCAAGGTCGCAAATGCCACTGTGCCCAACTAAAAAGGCCAAATGACTGAATTTGCTCGGCTGCTACAGACCGCAGGCTACCCATGCCGTGCTGGCAAGTGGCGACGTGCATCTCGTCCACAGGAGTGTCCTGTGGAGGCTATCCCCGTCAGATGATACAGAGAAAGAGACAACCTGAAACTCCCCGACCAAGCGGATGTTCTTTCCCGGTCTGTAAAACCCTTGAGGGGCCAACGCAAAGACTTGGGTTTGTCTCCAAATAGTGGAACCCCCAAAATGGGTGGTGTCCTTTTGGTTTCTCTTTAAGCTCAACCCAAAAAAGGATAAGCGTGCCATCTGCCCCCTCCCAAAAAGATTGGCCGTTCCTTTTCGTGGGATCGACCGTCCAAGCGAAACAACCTTCCCGCGCGTACAGGCAGACCCAACATCAACTTGCTGCTGCGACAGGTAGGGAATGACCGAGTCCTGGGTTTGGGAATGAACCGTTTGGGGTTTCCCTTCAAGGAAAAATCGACACGCCAATTCGGCTCCAATGACTCGCTGGTTTCCGCGACAGGTAGGGAATGACCAAATGACCCAGGGTTTTGGGAATAAACCCACGGTTTTAGAAATAAACCGTTTAGGCATTCCCTTTAAGCCATAGGACACGGATGGCTTTTCTTGGGCTCGTTCCATTTCTCCTTCCCGATTCCCGGGTCGGTCCCGGGTGGTGGAGAGCATCACGTTCTCCGGCTTCAGGTCCTTAGGGTGAGTTCAGCCAAACGGAGATCTCTGGCAAAACAGAGGTGTTGTGTACCGTCTAGGGGTAACTTCCATTTAAAGGGAATCTGTGACTACTGGAGTTTTTTTTTTCCAGGGGGCTTAAGCAAATGAACATTCTAGGGGTAACTTCCATGTCCATTCTTTCCAGGGATCCTACTTTCCAGAAAACCAGCAAAAACACTGGGAAAATAGCTGGTTCTTGAAAAGAACTATGGCTGAACATAATGGGGAATCAACCCCTTACTGATGAGTTTCGCCCCAAGGCGAGGCTGCCATTCACCCAACTGACTTACAACATGTCAAGGGCCAAAAAGCTCAACGAACAAAAGCCAACCCCTGGGAACCAAACAAAAAAAATACTTAAAAGGATGGCTTTATAGTGAACCTTCATATAAGGAGTACCGGGTGAGCCCTCGTCGTGGGCGAACAGTCACAGTACTCCTGTGTGAGCGCCCCATAAATTTGGCCAGACATGAGTATTATTGTATGGTGTGTCCTTTTTTAAGGGGCCCCCAAAATGGTGTGTTCCCCTTGGGTTTCCCTTTAACCAACACCAAAAAGCTTACCTGCAAAAAAAAGACCCATACTTCGGAAACCAAATGAAGCAAATCAAATGAAGAGATCCCCTCATGGATCAGGTCTATACCCGAAATAGCTGGGATTTTCGCGATGCTTTCTCAAATATGCTCCCCTCCAGCTTAGCATGGAGCCGGAAACAGGTTTCTTGTTCCCAGAAAGCAGATCTCTCTTAAAAACTGTGATGCTTTTCTCGGGGTGCGGGATTCCCTTCCGTTGATCTGCGAATTTTCTCCTGCTTGCCGGGGGCCGGGAAACAAATCCCCTCCGACCAAAGACCCAGCCCTTAGCAATACGCCTTGTGAATCACCGCCTTGGAGTGGCAATACGCGATCGCGGACAACGTGTGCTGCATCACCTGGCGAAGCAAAACATGTAAAGGGAGCGTGTCTTTTTGCGAGGGTACCAGTCCCCCCACAAACAGAAGGCAGCTCTGGGAGGGTGCCTGGAAGATCAACTTGTTGTTGGTGGAATGGAGGGTACCTCTTTTTGGTTGCTTTGAAAGGGAAACCAAAAGAGCAACCACCATGTGGTCCCCAAAAACAAAGACGCACCCAGAACTCGGAGAGGTGGTGAGGGGGCATTTGTCCTTAAGCCTGAACCAAAGAATTAGATGCATCACTCCTTTGTCAGTTGGCTTGTTCTTGAAAAAGGAGGAGGGGTGGCTTGAAGTGATTTCTTCCTGGAAGGGATCCACAGAAAGTGGCTCTGTGAATGCACAGCTAAGAATCATTCCATTTGGATAAGAATATGTTTTATTCTCCCTTGTTGGTTTTAAGGGAATCTATCACTACTGGACATATTCTTTACTTTTTCCAGGGGACTTAGGCAAATGGAGGAATCTCGGTTGGATGTTCGCACATTTCATGTTGGCCCAGTGCGACTTCGCCGTAGGACTGTCGGAGTGGAACCGAACTGTTGAGCGGCGGATGAGAGAAAGCAGACGTAGGGTGTGGGTTCGAAGCAAACGGATTTAGGGTTTGGGCTGCTGGTTGGCTTGCAACTCGTCCGACACACCCATGTCCTTTGTTTTCTCCTCAGCTGGGTTTGGGGCCGGGGCAAGGGCTGCACGATCCGCTGAACACACGCTCCTCAGCTGGTGCTTTGTACCCAACCATCGGCCTATGACTTCCAATCGGGCGGGGGCCGAGCCAAGCGCACCAAGATTGTCTAAGAGACCTTGAGGTTGGTTTATTCATGTTGGTCGGAAACAACTAGAATCACTGCTACCTCGAAGCTGACTGCTCCTGCTGTTGCAGGCTTTATGGGACACTTTGACTCAGTTAAAGCTTCCTTGTTGAGCACAAATGTCACCAGTGCTCCATATTCCCTTCGCCTCTCTGGGCATCCTGGTCAAAACAGACGGCACAACAAGTCCTGGCGAATGGCCTTGGACACCCAAAACTCGTAGCTCTGGGCGTCCATGGGCTCCAGGCACTTCACCTGACTCCGGTGCTCTCTACGGTTGCATTGCAAAGCGATTCCGGCCCAGAGGACTTAGATGGCCCAGGTGACAGCGAGACGACATGCGAATCACAAGGCAATGCGAACAGCTTGAAGGAAAGTTAATTTAATTAATAAACACCTCAACAGCTTAACTTCACAATTCAATTAACGTTCGTCGGTTAAAGGAAACATCTTTTCAAGGCGATGCGAATCACAAAAGCAATTCTTGCCTTGTGAGCGTTTGCTGGGTGATGCTTTGCGCCGATTCGCCGACTGATCAGTTTCCTGCAACTAGCCACCAAGACTGGTAGTGCACGCCCAGACCGAGGCGATGATACTCCTCCAGTCAGCTGTGGACTTCCATGTGTGTTGCAAAGAAAATGAGAGATTCTCTATCACCAACACCATTGCTCCTTTTTAGCGACCGTGGCACTTGTCTGAAAGATGTCTGGCTCCCGAATGAAGGGACTTGTGTCGAATCATCCGCGTCAGCTTCTTGAATGCATAATGACGTTGTAAACCCCCAAGTTCCACAGGCATGGCCTCCAGTCATGCTCGCAGCATCTCGGATATTACCATTACCACAGCCTACCACACGCGTATCCTGACCATGACCATGATCATGGGTGTCATGATCATGATCATGATCATGACATCACCTCAAGATCCTCATTGCCATCATCAGCACCCTCCTCCTCCTCCTCCTCCTCCTGCTCCTCATTGCCATCAGCACTATTAGTTTCGTCAGTTGCCTCCTCGGTGGGGGATACCTTGCCCTCTAGCCAGTCGTTGTCGCAAGTACATATTAGCACGAAACCATCGGCACTATTTACATCGCAAAGACAACGTCCGGCTCTGTCATAAACTAGGCCTGTATCCAGGGAGGTGCACTTAGGAACAACTCTTGATCGTGTCCAAAAAGGCCAGTGGACCACCTTCGCCCACAACTATCCTCAGTGTATAGAACCCACCAGAAGATCTGTCTTTTGCGGAACATCTTCTCCCCTCAGTTATGTTCCTACCAAGCCTCCGGCGGAATGCCGTCCGGGTCCGAGGTCCCTACATATTGCCCCAGATCTCCTCCGCGGCACTGCTCCATGACCAGGTAGAAGTACTCCTCGTCCTCAAAGTCCTGAAATCCAGTGGAGCACGACCAACCAACCAACCAACCGACCAACCAAAGCAAACCAACTAGG